GTGAGTATTCAGGGTTGTGGTGGCTTCTCATTGGCTGGGTTGTTGCTGGGCAAGGAGAAAATCTTCCTTCTTCATGCTAGGCTATGTAAAGGAAGCTGCCACAAGTGGAATGTGCCTGAGACCTCCCCTTTCAGGGCTTCCTGCCTCCGTTTTGGATGAGGTTTTCCTTTTATTCAGTTTCGTAGGGCGATTTCAGCATCAAGAGTAGGAGAGCATGGTCCTAAATAAGTTATAAAGGTAAAGACACCAAGGACTAGACGTATGAGTTTATGTGCTGCTGCTTCTGTCTCAACTAAAATGGGCATAAGAGGCCGGGCGGCGAGCGGGGTGTCGTGGGGCCCACGCTCCTGGACTGTGACACGCAGGCGGGGCGGCAAGTGGGCACTGAGGCTGCAGCTTGCGGCTTCCTGGCTCCCGGAGGTCATGGCCCGGCGTCTCGGGGGCTCCCATCCCCTCCAGGTTCTGATACCCGGTTTGCAATTACATTGAACAACAAGGATGCCCTCACTGGATATGAAGAGACCTTGGCTTCATATGGGATTGTTTCTGGGGACTTGATATGTTTGATTCTTGATGCCTTTGCAGCACCTAACTTACCTTCATCCACAGATTCAGAGCATTCCTCGCTCCAGAATAATGACCAGCCCTCTTTGGCCGCCAGCTCCAGTCAGTCCAGCATGCAGGATGAACAACTGTGTGATTCATTCCAAGGACAGGCAGCCCAATCTGATGTCTGGAATGATGGCAGTGGGTCAGGGCCTCGTCAAAATTTTGAAGCTGAGTCAATTCCAGATGTTGTGGTTATGGAAGAGGGCACAGGTTTCTATCCCTCAGAACCAATGCTCTGCAGTGAATCGGTGGAAGGGCAAGTGCCACATTCAGCAGGGACCCTGTATCAGCCAGCTGACTGTTCTAACCCCAGGGATCCCCTGATAGTATCCATACATCTCCTCGTGTTAGAGTCGGGTTACATACCTCAGGGGACTGAAGCCAAAGCTGTGTCCATGCTGGAGAACTGGAGGTTGGGGGGCGTGTATAAGCTGCAGTACACACATCCTCTCTGCGAGGGTGGCTCTGCTGCTGTCACCTGTGTGCCTTTGGGAAACCTCATCGTCATAAATGCTACACTAAAAATCAACAATGAGATTAGAAGTGTGAAAAGACTGCAGCTGCTGCCAGCATCTTTTATTTGCAAAGAGGAATCAGGGGAAAATGTAGCCAAGACACACAAAGATCTTCAGAAGCTCTCTCGCCTCTTCAAGGACCAGCTGGTGTATCCTCTTCTGGCTTTTACCCGACAAGCACTGAACCTAACAGATGTATTTGGGTTGGTAGTCCTCCTATTGGAGCTGAAACTGCAGCTCTTCCGACTTTTGGTTGTTCGTTCTGTCCTGTCTTTGTCTGCAGTTTGTCATGACCTCTATATTGCTTCAAATGACCAACTTCTGTGGAGGTGTTTATATCTGCGGGATTTTCGAGATGGTACTGTCAGAGGTCGGGACACAGATTGGAAAGAACTGTACAAGAAGAGGCACAAAGAAAAGAAGCTCAGAGAGGGTGGCATGTGATGTTCCTGCCATCGTCACCCCACCCCATTCCATTCTACCCCAACCCCTTGCACCCCAGGCCTTTTCCTCCCAGTTCTCTCCTTCCTCCAGGAATTATTGGTGGTGAATATGATGAAAGACTAGCCCTCCCTTATGTTGGGGATCCAATGAATTCACTCATCCCTGAGCCTGGGGAGATACCCAGACACTTCCCTCCACTCAGACCATGTTTTGACCCAATCGGACCCTTTCCAGGACCTAACCCCATCTTGCCAGGGCGAGGTGGCCCCAATGACAGATTTCCCTTAAGACCTAGCAGGGGTCGGCCAACTGACAGCCGGCTGCCATTCATGTGACTGGTTTGTAATCTCACTCTGGAGCTTGTTTTGTCTTTGTTTTTGTTTTAAACTATAGACGTCATCTTGTTGGGGTGCTATCTCTAGTGTTTTCTGATTGTGGTGGTGAGAAATGCACTCACAGAAGCCTTTTGGTAGGTATATTTAAAGCTCCAGGGGTGGTATGGCCCAAAGATTACTGCATGACAGGGTTGGCCTTGGGAATAGTTGGTTCCTGACATCCCCTCTCTGAATTAGCCTCTAGAATGAAGGTTAGACATTGATAACATTCTGCATCAGAATAAAAAAAATTAAGTGTGAAAAAAAATAAAATAAAATGGGCATGAACCCCAGCCATGTTCTCTCAGCCTTCCTCTCTTTTATGAGCCTGGAGACCTGTGCAAAGTAGTGAGAATGTTTAGCTTATTTAGTTGAACCCTCACCATGTTAGGCTTTGGGCCTGTGTGCCCGGTTGATATACACATTTGTAGGCTATATGCTTTCTTAAAATGCACATTTGTGGGGGTGGGATAGGGAGGGGGGGAGAGAGATGCAAGAGGGAGGGGATATGGGGATATATGTATATGTACAGCTGATTCACTTTGTTATACAGCAGAAACTAACACACCATTGTAAAGCGATTATACTCCAATGAAGATGTTAAAAAAATGCACATTTGTGTATTTTAATATTGCCTATGTATGCTGCATCTAGGAGATTATAATAAAGTCATTAAAAGTTACAGAATAATAAACCCAGTAGGACCTACTAAAGCATATATAAACATTCAGCAAACGCTTACTGTTTATCATATCCAAAATGCAAACAAGCAAAAAACTAAAATAACTTAAACTTGTTTTTGCAGTGTTTTATGGTGCGAGTTTCAGCTATAATGATGATCCTGAATTTCTATAAGATCGCGCTCATTTTCTGAATCATTAGGGGAGACTGAATTCTATTCATTGTCACTTCAGTGTTGTCAGTTTCACTGTCCACTAAATTTTGGAAACAGTGTTGCAGTGTCTAAAATGTGTCAAGTTCTACTCAACTCTGTTTCACAGTCCATCTATGAACGTGTCTAATGTGTAATTCTTATGAACGTGTCTAATGTGTAATTCTTAGAAGGGGCAACATATTTGCATAGGGATATTCACCAGAGTAGGCTGTTTTCAAGAGGCAGGTGACCAGGTTAGGACGATCAATTCCAAAATAGCTCTGGGAAGTTAAAATCTCTTTATATGCATGAGAGTGTTTATGTGCCAGATAATATTCAGTTTATCGTCTCTTCAACATAAACATTTATTGCTGGTCTATCATGTAAAGCGCTACAGTAAGTGCTAAGGATAAAGAATACATCTGAGCAGTTTGTCGTGTGGTCAGGGTTGTACAAGCACGTCAGAAAGCGCAGTGTTTAAGGGGGCGCACGCGCTACATGCCGCATAAGCAGCGCGGTCAGTGGGCGCAGCACGTGGCATTCCGGTGTTCATAGCCTAGAGATCGAGACAGCACCTCCCACGCCCCACAGAAGCAGCAGGTGGGTTTGGTTCTTCCTTATCCTTCACACGTATCTCAATCCTCAGCCAATCTGAGAAACAGGAGCTTTGTTAGGGTTTTGTTGCTACTCAACAGTAAAGAAATAGCTATCCCAGGAAGAAAGGGTATTAAGCTCTGGAAGCGTAATTCCGATATATTTACTCCCCGTCCGTCTTTCAATACCTCTCGTATCTAAAAACAATAGGATCTAATTCTCTTTCTGGAGGGTACCCTGTGAAACTGCTGGATGACTGATAGCATTTTATTTGTGATGGAAATGAAAGCGCTAGGAATTTATGATGCTTTCATTCATGGATTCATGGGAATAAGTATCTTCTTAGGCTGACAGTTTGTTAAATAAACATGTTTGAGCTCCTTCTAATGGAAGTGGGCTGCAACACTGGTTATATTATTATGACTATGATTATTAAGAGTAATCGATTTTGTACCCATATTACGAAATAGGCTTCATGTGAGATTTCTTTGATCAGTACAGGTCTTGGTACCCAACCATGAAATGGGCCACGAGGGAGGATTTCAAAAATGAAAGCAGTGGATGAGAAATGTCAGAAAAACGAAGCTGTTTGTATAATCCTGACTATCTGTTCTGAATGTTGTCGTTTGGGTTGATCATGACAGAATTTCTGTTGTCCGTAGAATGTAGTTCCTCCTAGCTAAAGGAAAATAATGGCTTCTTTTTGGCAGGGCCATGATTATTACCAGGTCCCCTGACAGTACCAGGACAGTACTGACAGAATCATGGACTTCCCAGAACATGAAAAGGGCCTTGGCAAGCACTTGCAGGCCATCAGTGATGGGCAGGATTTGGCAAAGTAGAGATCAGAGAAGAGGGCGTCATGAAAGGAGAAATAAATTGTGCCAAGATATGGAGGGTAGAGTAAGCACCCTGTTTATTTGGGGAACAGTGAGGAGAGTCCTCTAACTGCAGCAAAGAGGTTCTGTTCCCATTGGAGAGTTGTAGGAGTAGGTAGTTGGAAAGGAGAGATGGGGACCAATCAAAGGACGCATTCCTTTCATTGATTTTTGTCAGCCAAGGAAGGCTACACATCAGGTTTTAGGATCATTTTAGAATCAGAAGCTTAGAGCCAAACCCAAACGTCATCTCTTACTGGCTGGGTGACCTCAAGACAAAATGCTTAACCCGGCTAAAACCTTAGTTTATTCATCTGTAAAACAGAGCTCATAATATCTTCCTCATAGAGATGCTGCATGGGTTAAGTAAGAACCTGTATGAGTAGCCCCCAGCCAATTGCCTGGTGAAGTAGGGTTTCTGAGGAGGAAGTGAAGAGATGAAAGGGGGTTGGTTGTAGAGAGACTGGTCTCTGGCCGCTGTACACAGAAGAGGTGGAATCAGAAGAGACCAGAAACAGTACCAATGTCAGCAATCCCCGAGGAGCCGAAGGGGTGGGAGCTGCCAGGCTAGGAAAGAGGGGACGTGTCCGTACACCTATTCTCTGCAATTTCTTTCCTATCATAGACTTTTGTTTCACTTGAGGATTGTGTAACTTCGTTCTGTGGTGTTAGAAGTACAACAATCACCGACTCTTTCTTTTGCCCTGAACAGGATGCCAGCGATCCATAGGCCTTTCCAATGGGAAAGCCAAGGTGTGCAATTACAGCGGGTGGTATTACTGCAGCAGCTGCCACGTGGACGACAGTTTTCTCATCCCGGCCCGCATAGTCCACAACTGGGATACTTCAAAATATAAGGTAGGTACCGAAACTGGGTTCACTTCATAATAGCGATTTGGGTATTTACATGTTGTCATGTGGATTCTAAAGATAATAAGATAAGAATTTGAGGCAGACCTGATTAAGTAGTCTCATAAAAGCTACAACTTCATGCTCTTTTCCCACTCTATACTTTTTTTTTTTTTTTTAATTAATTTATATTTGGCTGCATTGGGTCTTCGTTGCTACGCATGGCTTTCTCCAGTTGCGGCGAGTGGGGGCTACTCTTCGTTGCTGGTGCGCAGGCTTCTCACTGCAGTGGCTTCTCTTATTGCAGAGCATGGGCTGTAGGTGCACGGGTTTCAGTAGTTGTGGCACGTGGGCTCAGTAGTTGTGGCTTGCGGGCTCTAGAGTGCAGGCTCAGTAGTTGTGGCGCACGGGCTTAGTTGCTCTGCGGCACGTGGGATCTTCCCGGACCAGGGATTGAACCCATGGCCCCTGCATTGGCAGGCAGATTCTTAACCACTGTGCCACCAGGGAAGCCATTGCGTTATTTCCCTCCCTTCTATGGTTTTAACTACCAGGGCTCATATGCTGATGATTCCTACATTCATCTCCAGCTCTGCTTTTGCTACTGAAAGTGAGATCTGTGGATTTAACTGCCTGATAGCATTTATCTCAACTGTAGTTTTCAACCTAGTAGTCCTCAAGACACGTGAACCAGTTAGCTCCATTGCACAGCATTTCCACCCTTGCATAAACGAGGTAATCGACTTTGGCAAGTCGAAGAATCTAACCCCCACTGGAGTTGTACTCTAGGCTTAGGATTTTTTTCCGGTCCTGGGTCCTGCCACCCAATAAAGAATTCTGTTATCTCATCGGACTAGAAGCTTTCCTGATCCTTCTGCCAGAATATCATCACATCTGCCTTGAACGAACCTTCAATGCAAGGTGCTTCGTACAAAAACAGGCTGTATGATGGGTTTTATACCTCCTTGTTGATAGATGTCTTAGACTTCCTTTCATTGTAACTGTAAGTCACTCGGGAGCAAGGTAGGCAGGGAAGGAACCTGTGGCTGTCACCTACCTATAATCTTTGAAGTCTGAAATGAACATGACAGTTGTGAGTGGCCAGTTGTCTTGATCCTTTTCTACATCCCTGGGCAGCTCTGTCTCCTGTTCTACCCAATAATCATCCACATCTTCACTGTCTTCAAGATGCCTCATCCCAGGCCTTCTCAGCCTATGACCTTGCCTCCTACTTCAGGGAGAAAATTGAAGCTATGAGATTTGAATACGAATACCTATAAATCTGTCTACATTGGTACCTATCCTTACTGCTTCCAGTCCTGTGTTGGGAAGAAGAAGAGCCTTTTCTCTTGTTTAGAGATCATCCTTCCATGTGTGCTCCAGATATTTTCACCCATCTCGGGAATCCCTGCTGTTTGTTCCAGAGCTGAGAAAGGCATGTCCTCCTTGGTGAAAGCTCTGATGCTCCCCGCATTCCCCATTTGTGCTTTGCTGGTTCTCCCTGTGCCACCATCACGCATGCGTGGGTTTCTAGAATTGCACTTATTACAGGGGCTAACAGCAGGAGCTTGTTCACCAGGCCTTTGTTCAAATCCTCCCTCCACCTCTAATTAGGTGCTTGATTGGCTGGGGCAAATTACTTGAACTTCTGTGAGTCTCCATTTTGTAATCTGTAAAATGAACCCAGAGTACCTGGGTTCAAATTTTAGCTTTCTCATTTACTAGCTGTCTAACCTGGGCAAGTTGTTTAGTCTCTCTGTGTTTTGGTCTCCTCATCTGTAAAATGAGGGCAATAATAGCTCATAAGGTTATCGATGGTTAGATGGGTTCATGCATGCGAACAAAGTACCTCGCGCACATAAGCATTTGTTCTTACTACACTTCACGTATTTACCTAAAAGAGTTTTGTGGATTGGGATAATATAAGAAAAGCACTCTTCGACTGACTGTGGTAAGTACTTAAAGAATGGAATGAAGTGATTATTTTCATGATCCTCACATTTATATACCAGCCGGCTGCTTATCTGTCTTCTTACTAAAGGTGAGCTTCCTGGGTGCTGGGGACCTGCCTTAGCACAGTTTCTGGTGCGTAGTGGGTAAGGAGAGCTGTATAGTGAAGCCGGTCCTGTGGGTGCCTCAAACTCAGTACGCCCCAAACTGGCTTCCTCACCCTCACCAGCTGTCTCCCACCCCTCCCTCACTGCACGTGGCTCCACCAGTCCCACCGCAAGTGCTGGGAGACATCCTGGACTCCTCCCTCTGCCACACCAGCCTTGCCTAATCAGTTCACAGAAACCCACAGCTGACTTGGAGCTCTGAGGCCCTGCACCCCACTGCACACGCAGCGCCACCACACAATCCCAACCCTCAGCATCACTCACGGGAAAGAATCCAGTCGCCTCCCAGCCGTGCTTCCTGCCTTCAGGTCTTGCCCAACAGTATTTCAGAAAAGTCCCATTTGCCCCAACATTATTCCCAAGAAGTCCCATTCTCACCTTGGGTAAATGTTATACCCTCTCTTAGTCTCTGTGTCTTCACATTTAGAATGGAGATAATAGCAGCGATAGTACCTACTTCACAAGGTCGCTGTTTGCTCAAATGAATAATTCACAGAAAGCACCTAGTGCAGTGTCTGGAATGTAATAAGTGCTCAATTAATGCCAGCTTTTACTCTGACTGAACTTAAGATAAATCCAAATCTCTTAGCCCGACAAAAGACTGTTTGTGATCTCTAGTCCTAGCCTTTCTAGCCCTTTTATCCACTCCCTCCCCGCCCCCGTGAGTCTCTTCAGGAAGATCACACTCCTTCCCATTGCCCAGTCCCGCCAGGCTATTTCACACCTCTTGTCTTCCTCTTGCCCTCATTCAAATCCTAAACCCAGCTTAAACTTCATTTCCTTTCCTGATTTTTTCCTTCCCCTCAGCCAGACAGTTATCATTCTCTCCTCTGCATCTTGTACTTGACACTCTGAATATAGGCTATAAATATATTTGCCATGTGTGTATTAGATAAAAACTTACTTAGAGGGAAAGAACACTAGCTGAGTTTGAACAGTTTAGATTAATCTATTTGGAGCAGAACTTTGACAGCTGAGAGGTATGTAGAAAGCAAGTGAGTGAGGCAGTCCCAGCCCTGTGATCGTTGAGGGTTTGGGCTGGTGGCACCTGCCCACAGAATATGTGCCCATCAGTGGAGCTGAAGCAGAAAAGGTGGCACTGAATGAGGAGGTGAAAAACTCAGGAGTGGTTTATGAAGCCATGAAATGGAGGAGATTCAGTTCTGTTTGTAGTGATGGCTGAAGGCCACTCAAACCATCAATCTAGCCATCACTGCTGCTTGTAGTCTTTCTATAAAGCAGATATTTTTGTGGTGGTGGTCATTCAAGTGACAAGGTTTGATTTTGAGAGGATAGGTAAGTAATAGGGATATTAGGTACCCTCACTTCATCCATGAGGAAAATGTCCTTTGTCAGACCATTCCCTCCCTGGATCTCAGTAGACCAGGGAAGATTTTAAAGCAAGAACAGAGCTGGTCAATTTTATCTGGATCATCTCTCACTGGCATTAAGTAACTATATTCCATTTAGTCCAGTGTCTGTCTGTCTTTGCTCAGATGCCAGGATTTAACTTAATGTTCCTAATTGTGAGGATCAATTCAGACCTATCAGTTTCCAAGACCAGACATCGTTCTGTTAGATCTGCCTGCTCTCCTTAATTGCAAGTACGTGACTGGCTTGAATATCCATTTAAAGAGTGAAAAAATGGTTTTGCAGAGCAGAATGAAATCTGTCATCTTAAGCGTTTCCTTGTCTGCCCTCCAGAGTAATAATAATCCTAATTACTTTTAAAGCAGGATTTCATCTGTTTTCCAGTGTACATCCTGCGGATTGAATTGAGCCCCAGGATTACCTAGCAGCTAAACCCTATCCTCCAATTTTATAGCCATTTTCTAATGAAATTCTCTTTGAAGATAACTTTCCCTCTACCACCACCACCCCAATTCAAAAATATCAAGCATGACAAAGAGGTGGTAAGGAACTCAAACTTAGCCTGAACTCTTCCTAAATTGTGCTTTTAAAAAATATTTTTGTATCCTAGCCTGAATATTCACATTCCATTTAGCTAGGGGTTTTCCATGTTACATAAGCCATTTCCTATCTCTTCATCTTGAGAGGCATTCAAGGAAAACTCTATTGCCCTTGCAGAGCTGGAGAGTAGCTCGCTGATGGGAAAAACCACTTGTTCAGAGTCATTTGGAGATTTTGAGAACAAATTGTAATTAAAGTTAAGATTTCCTGATTCCTTCTCCGTTAGCCCACAGTGCCTGTTTTAATAAGACCAAGAAGTATTGTGGTTGGAATTGATCTTATTAAAGATGATTTTTCATAATAGATGATGGGAAAAAATACTGGAAGGAAACATTATACCTAAGCAATCAGTGGTTATTTTACTGTGGTAAGATTATGGGTGATTTTCTTTTTTCTCTCCTAATCTTTATTCTCCAAACTTTCAGTAATGTGATTACATTATTTTTATTATTTTATAAATTTTAACTGTCACGTAGCTCCATGACAGTTTCCTACTTCAGAAAATATGTACTAGAAATTAACCTTTTTTTAATGCCTCAGAATTATAATTATAAATATGAGTGTTCTACCTCGTGATCAATAACTTCAATGTGGTTTAATATGATATATGGGAGGCTATTTTTTCTGTAAGGAAATTGCCTTATACCACTATACTTTTATTCTTCTTTTTTTGAATATAATATAGTTTCACATTTCGAGGTTCAAAAATACAAAGGACATATACACATAGATAATCTCCCTCCCTCTTCCTCTCACCCACAGGCAACCAAATTACTCCTTCCAGAAATATTTTACATACATGTATTTTACACAAAAATGTCAATTGGCAATACAGTATACATGCTGCTCTTAGAAAATATTCCATTCAGATCATAAAACTCTTCCTTGGGCTTTTTTAAACAGCCATTCCATATATATATATTTTTAAATTTATTTTATTTTTTTATTTTTGGCTGCTTTGGGTCTTCGTTGCTGCACACAGGCTTTTCTCCAGTTGCAGGGAGCGGGGGCCACTCCTCGCTGTGGAGGCGGGCCTCCCACTGTGGTGGCCTCTCCTGTTGCGGAGCATGGGCTCTAGGCTCGCGGGCCTCAACAGTTGTGAGGCACGCAGGCTTAGTTGCTCCATAGCATGTGGGACCAGGGCTCGAACCCGTGTCCCCTGCATCGGCAGGCGGACTCTCAACCACTGCGCCACCAGGGAAGCCCCCAGCCATTCCATATTACATCATGAATTTAACACACACACACACACACACACTCCAGTTTATCCAACTTGTCCTTGTTTTGATGGACATTAAGGTTTTTCTAGTCTTTCTATTATAGACAGTGATTCAGTGAATAACTTTATACATCATTTTGAATGTAAGTTTTTCATTTACGAGTGAGACTATCTGTAGATAACTCCCTAGTTGTAGGTATGTACACCTGTGAGTTTGATGGATGTTGCCAAATTGCTTTCTGTCGAGGTTGTATTCTATACTTTTACCATATCTCTTCTTGCACGTGCCTTTCTTCCCTTAGTACCAGGATGTCAGCTGTCACCTCTTTTGTCACTGTGCTGCCCCTAGCTGTCCTTCCCCTTTTCTACTTTATTAATTCTAAATATGTTGTGAACTTAGAAACAAATAATCAAACTGTTAGAAGTGTGTGGCTCAGAGTCACGGCCAGAGCATTGTAAAGTACTCATTCATCTGTTCAGCAAGTGTTTATTGAACACTTACTGTGCTCACCGGGGACATAGCCTCTGTGTCATGAATTTCTCGTGAGGGAGAAAGACAGTAAACAGATATACAAATAAGTGACTTCTAGATAAATGAAGTGTTACTAGACTTTGGTTTTTGTTTTAAAGACCCACACACCAATGTACTGCCTCCTTAAATTATGTGTTCATCTCCATTGGTAGCCCACTTGTTTTCTATTTGACTGGGGCGGAGGGAAGGACAGAACAGGGACAGGGATCTCCTATTTTAAAGAGTGATGAACAGATAGTTTTTGGTAGAGTTATTAAAAACAGATAGTTTTTGGTAGAGTTATTTAAAAAAATAAAAGGAACTGTGAACATAAACAATGGTAAAAAGCACGGAGTAGTGTATCTCGACATCTGAGTTTTGGCTTGAGTTCTGCCACGAGATGACCACAGATAAGTCATTGAAGTTTTCTGGACTCAATTTTCTCTTCTATTAAGTATAGGTAATGGTAGAGAAAAATGTCCCTTCCTCCGGTTGGTGAGTGGGACCTAGGCTGACTTTCATTTCCTACTGCCCCCTCCATACAGCCTGCATGACATTAACCAGCTGCCCTGTCTGTAGTCAGATTGGTTGGGAAGTGGCTGGATTAAGTAGGTTTTCTCTAGTACTCCATGTCCCAGGGCTTTAATATGCTAACACGCTGCACTTTGAAACACCAAGAGAAGAATGTGGCATGTGGCGTATTTCTCGTTGGCCCTCAGAACATCTTTTCTGTGTGACTGGTATTCCTTGCCACACAGGTTGGGAAAAAACTGAACTAGATTATCTGTACCCGTTCTTGTTATTCTGAGATTATGTTCTCATCTGTTTTATTCTGATACATTTTCCTCCTTTAACAAAAGCTAAAGTCCTCACGACCGGCACATCCTCCTCTGCAAATTGCTGTCTATGGTCACCACATTGCCTCTGCCCCATTGCTTTATTACCCAGGGCTCTTTTTGTGGGGGAACATACCAGGACACCATTCCGGAACCTCTCAGAGTTACATAAACCTGAACATTTGAGAATTTTGTTTTACAGAAGTAGCTGTCACCAGCATAACAAAAGATGTATTATGTTGAAATCTATACCAACGATGCTTAATGTTAAAATCAAATGACAACATGCTTATTTATAAATACATCTGTGTATCTAGGAGATTTGTCATTACTAGTTTGTGGAAAATTATAACCTGATTGTGCCTTTTCTCCAACTCCTCCTGAGTGTGAGATGGGTAGGAGACCTGTTTCTACCTGGACCTCTTCCGCCTCAACTCTCTTGAATCATGTTGATGGCAGGGCTGTGGAGAGAGAACCAGTTCACAAACTGCAACAAAACCACAGTCAGAGACTGGAGTTCTTATAGCTTAAACTATTCTAAGTTAAAAGACCTATGGAAAGAAACTGTTTTATATTAATAATACTAATATCATTAATAAATATTAAATATTATTTAGTAAAATACTAACAGGCCAATAGATTGGAAAAGTGAACTGTCAACCCTGTAAAAATTGCTTCTGATGTGAGTAGAGTAGGATCATGAAAAAGAATGCCAACTTAAACCGTTCACTTTTTTAAAGGAAAGAATAGTGGGCTTATCCGTCTGCACTTATGAGCTAAGTTTTCATGTCAGAAACAGCACTCAGGCTTTTGATGTTTTTCATAATTTGGTAGGCAAGAAATAGGACAGTAGCTCTTGGCTCCTAGGTAGAGTGTTATTTGGTGTTCACATGTAACTCATGAAGTATTTCTATTAATAAGAAAGAAACTTGCTCTCACATAAACTTCGTCACTTAAGAATATCATTGGCTTCCTTCCTTAAGTAACTATATATTTTTAAAAAAGCTTTTTAATTACAGCTGAGTTTGAAAGTAGAATGCTCATATCAGTATGGAGGGTGGTTTTGAACTTAGGACACTGTATCCCCACTCATTTCCTATTTTACAAACATAGCGTTTCATGCCAAATATTGAGTTCTCTCAAAAATTCCCTCACTGATGTAAGTGGTCGCTTCTCAAAAAATGAGCATGTGCCTTGCTGCCAAAAACGGCTCAACATGGCAGGAATTTATTTGTTCACATACTCGGGCAGCCAAGGTCACAATATGCTCTGTATTCTGAACACTGGCTAATAACTTTGTGAAGCAGTGCCTTAGACCTTATTGAAACTAGCTCTGTTTTTGTTTTTAGTAATTTCAGTGTATGAATGCTGATGTCAGTAGCTGCCATCCCATTTGTCTCACTGCTTTTACTGTCTCTGTAAAAGACTTTTTTTTTTTTTCCATTTGGGCTTAAGTACCACCTGAAGAGAGAAGCCTTTTAAGGCCTGGGAGACTGGCCAGTGCCCTTTGTCCTTCTGTTCACCTACTAAAAGGTGGCATTGTTAACCTAATTCAGCAGGGCCCTGGCTCAGTATAAACACTGCTCAATAGAGCCAGAAAGACTAATTGAATTGTACAATACATCACTCTTCAGCAACAGTTTCAAGTGGATTGTACTTCGTTTTCCAGAACACCATCCATTTTTCCCCCTCATTTAAGATTTTTAAATATGGCAAATATTTAACCACGATAAACAAAATATTTGAACCCAATTCTGTCTTTCCCCGCTGAACTGTGAGCTACATGAGGACAGGGCCCTGCCAGTTGTGGTCTCCAGTATCAGTGAATTGGTATGTAAAGATTCCCCCAAACTACCCATGGGTTATGCATTATTTAAGCTACTCCCTCTGTATCTCAGATGTGTTTCTTCTATTTATTTCTTTGGATGACAATGACATTTTAAAATCAACTTTCATACTCTTGATGATTACTACCAGAAGTGGATATAGAGTTGGATGGATCTATTGGCCAAAGTCAGCCTAAGCTCAGAGCTGTTCTAATAAGAGCAACTCTTTTCTGCTTATGAAAGTGTGTGTTTGAGCCTATTTTCTATGCACATTGTTCTGCATATAATACCCTTTTTTTCCCCTTTTTTGGGAGAGATACTTTTATTCCTTTTGAATTTTGTAGTATGTGCGTGGTTTACCTATCTTTTTAAAGTGGCTACTTTATAAAAAGTGTTATAGACTATATATACATATATGTGCACATAGTTTTAGTTTTTAAAGTCAGCATTGTTGTTAAGAGTATTAATGGTGCTTTGTGACTACCTAGAGGGGTGGGAGAGGGAGGGTGGGAGGGAGACGCAAGAGGGAGGGGATATCGGGTTATATGTATGCCTATAGGTGATTCCCTTTGTCATAAAGCAGAAACCAACACACCATTGTAAAGCAATTATACTCCAATAAAGATGTTAAAAAAAAAGTCTTAATGAATTCTTTTTAAATTTTTATTTTGAAATAATTATGGATTCACAGGAAGTTGCATAGATAATATAATACAGAGAGGTCCTGTGTATCTTTCACCTACTTTCCCCACGGGTTATATCTTAAATACCTATAGTACAATTAAAAAAAACAAACAAACAGGAAATTGACATTTGGTATACTGGGTCTGTAGAGTTCCGTGTCATTTTATCACGTGTAGATTTGTGCAATCACATGATCAACATACAGAGTTAATGAATTCGTTTCAATGCCCAGGTTACTTTTACCAATTGCGTTTCTGGAAGAGAGAAAGAAAAGCCACACTTTATACTTAGTTCACTATGGGCTTTTTCATTTGGCTGTGTTCAGAAGATGATGTTATTTTGATATTTAAGCTGTGGTTCCTGGCTGGAGGAGGTGTGGAAAGCCAGGTGATTCGCCAGCGCTGATGGAGCAGTTTCTTTTGTAGGTGTCTAAGCAGGCCAAAGAGTTTCTGGAGTACGTGTACGAAGAGCCCCTGATCGACATCCAGCAGGAGAACCCCATGCTGTACGGACACGCCGAGCCGCTGGCCACCGTGGTGCGCCTGCGGCAGCGGCTGAAATCACTGCGAGCCTATTTGTTCAGCTGCCGGGCAGCGGTGGCCGAGGATCTGCGCCGCAGGTAAGAGTCATAAATGTCAGACGGCGTCGGTTTGTTTTTCTTTTCCCGCCCCGGGAGGGTGGTTAGAGGATCTCCAAGGGCCTTTACAACGTGGAGTGTCTCGAATTCTGTGGCTGTCCCTCTGGGCTCATCTTTGGCTCTTTCCTCCGAGGGCCTCTATCCGGTTGAGCCAAGCACAATGAAAATAATATCTCAGCGTAACTGAAGGCTTTTAACCCATGGATCGAGTTCCCACAATGGTGAAGACCTCTCTTTACCTGTAGGTTAACTTGAGATAATATTCATTGGAGTGTCTTCACTGATCACTTATGTAGTGTTTTATATTTCCCTCAAGTTCAGTTCGTATTATCATCAGGAAAAAATAAGCATGTTTGAAATATTTCATAACTTAAAAACATTTTTTCAATGGGAAATTAGTAGGTGGTTATTCAAATCTTATTTTGCAGACAGAAGCGAACTTGGTAAATGATGCAGGCTGTAGAGCTTGAATTAAAATGCATTAAAAAACAACAACAGGCACAAAACATGAAAAGGCCCAGGATTCTGCCTTTTCATGTTACCATTGACATAGGCTGCTTATCCATAGCTTGGTTATCTCAGAGTTTATGGAACACACAAGTCCATGCCAGGCTCAGATCCTCAACATAAAAGTGAAGTTAAAATGTGCCTGCTCTCATCAGATTCCTTCTTTTACAGTTAGGTTTTATTGGCATTTAAATTCTCACCCTTGGCATATGTGAACTAGCTTATACTTGAAATAATTGTTGATGGTGTTCATAAGTCCCTAAACATACCTTTTAGTTTTTTTTTTTAGTAGAAATTTAAAGGCATACATTAGTCATGATTTTTGGAGGCAAGCCTATGTGAATAAGAACCTTTGGAAAGTGATATCGTTTGCTATTTGAAATCCAATTAAGATCCAAAGAAACTGACAAAACCCCAGGTATCTGAAGAGATGTTTTGAAAAGAACTAAATGTAGATGGTAAGGGATACATAATATCTAGACAAGCTCTCATAAAATAATAATGAAAAGGCAGCTGCCATAAAGCAAAATACTTCTCAGTGGTAGTCATTCTATTACCTAGTTGTTTTTCAGAAAGTGCTAGAAAGTGGTCAGGATTTACTCTTGTAAAGTCTAGGCAAATCTTAATTTTAAAGATCAGGGCTTTGCCTGAAAGGCAATAAAATTATGTGTCTCAAACTAATTCAGCAACTAAACTAGATACAAGATTTTTAACATTGAAAGTATGTTCTATTACTTTCAGTACCTTTTGCCTTTGCTCAGAGCTGGTTTTTCCTGTGCCTATATTTTTAAATGATATTAAAATCTACACATGGGGGCTTCCCTGGTGGCGCAGTGGTTGAGAGTCTGCCTGCCGATGCAGGGGACGCGGGTTCATCCCCCCGGTCCGGGAAGATCCCACATGCCACGGAGCGGCTGGGCCCGTGAGCCATGGCCGCTGAGCCTGCGCGTCTGGAGCCTGTGCTCCGCAACGGGAGAGGCCACAACAGTGAGAGGCCCGCGTACAGCAAAAATAAATAAATAAAATCTACACATGGGAATCATGTTAGCTACCTTTATGATATAATGTTTTGCTTTGGTTAAATATGTCAGATCTGGGCACACATTTAGAAATTAAATAGCAGATCCTGTCTTCATATGGATGACTAAGAATACCTATGCTGTTCCAGCAGTTTGGTGGTTTACCACCATGTACTGTGCCTTATGGCCAGACCACCAGGAAAGGAATGGAAGTTCTAGAAAAAAAGCATTCCTAGGGCTGTGAGAATGAAAATAGGAGTCTTTTTTTCCTTTTCCTTCATTTCTCTTTCCTGGACTTGCTCATGACCGTTATGTAGTGTAGTGCCTGCCACAAGGTCGGTATTCAGTAACTACTGAATGGATGGATGGAAGGAGGGATGCGTGATAGATGGATGTCTGTTACAGTGTCACTTTAGACCACTGAGCAGTGGCTAGTAGCCCAGTTTTGAGGAAGGAGTCATCTTCAAATTCTTCTTTTTCTTACTTCCCCGTGTTACTTAGCACAGTGTTTGACCTATCTGAAACTTTCAGAAATTGTTGAATGAACAAATCAACTAAAGAGCAAACCAAATCAGCCAAAAAAGCATTTCTGTTTCTGGGATAAGTCTCAAATCTTTCCTCTCCTGTTCACTTCCAGTGCACTCCCCTGGTTCAGTCTCAGGACTATTACAGTATCCTTCTGACTTTCTGTCTCGCTTGGGTTTCTTTCCTCTCCAGCTGAACCTTCGCATCAGACAAATTATTAAAGCACAAGTATGGAATTAAAGATCTGCCCCAATCTAATCCAGTATATTGTTCTACTCTCTCAAACACTGCACTTCAAACACAAATAATTATTTAACTCTTCCCTCAGTGCATTCTGTTGTGGGAATTAAATGGGTTTTTGCAAGTGAAGGGCTTACAGTAGTGCTTGTACATAGTAAACACTCTATAGATAACCATTATTATACTGCTTTTTAAAATTTTATTTTATTTTATTTTTGGCTGTGTTGGGTCTTTGTTGCCACACACGGGCTTTCTCTAGTTGCAGTGCACGGGCTTCTCATTGTGGTGGCTTCTCCTGTTGCGGAGCACGGGCTCTAGGTGCACGGGCTTCAGCAGTTGCAGCATGTGGGCTCAGTAGATGTGGCACACGGGCTCTAGAGCGCAGGCTCAGTAGTTGTGGCTCATGGGCTTAGTTGCTCCACACAGCCTGTGGGATCTTCCCGGACCAGGGCTCCAACCCGTGTCCCCTGCATTGGCAGGCGGATTCTTAACCACTGCACCACCCGGGAAGTCCTAATACTGCTTTCTTATCCTAGACTGTTCTTGTCTCTAGCTTTTAAAATCTTTGTTAAAAGATTCTCCTTAAAAGCTACCCCTGAGGCTCTGTCTACTGGAATCAGGCTCCTTCTGCTACTCACTGTATCAGGAGAGGGGTAAGCAAGAGGAAGTGGGTTGGAGGGCCAGCCTGGCCCAGGGCCTGCAGTTCCTGGGTACGCGGGATGCACTTATCTGAGCGTTTGTTGCATAAAAATAGGTGGAGCAGGGCTTCCCTGGTGGCGCAGTGGTTGAGAGTCCACCTGCCGATGCAGGGGACACGGGTTCGTGCCCCAGTCCGGGAAGATCCCACATACCGCGGAGCGGCTGGGCCCGTGAGCCATGGCCACTGAGCCTGCGTGTCCGGAGCCTGTGCTCCGCAGCGGGAGAGGCCACAACAGTGAGAGGCCCGCGTATCGCAAAAAAAAAAAAAAAAAAAAAAAAATAGGAGGAGCAGGAGGCTCCCTAAGAGCAAAGAATGAGACAGTGATTCCTACAGAGCCCTAGAGGAGGTGATTGATTTTTTTTTAATGTTATTTTAGTTTCTCTATATTTATATACTGTTAACATAATGTTTGGGGTTAGGTTACCATGCTCTCCAGCCTGGCACAGAGAAAAGTATACCAGTAGCAAGCAGTACTCCTAACTTTGGGGGGAGGTGGCGAGTTAGAGGGAGGCTAGAAATCATTTTGATTTATTTTGAAATATGACTATTTAGTGAAATATGTCTAAGAGATTTTTCTGGGATGTTCATACTTCTTACAGCTGGGCCATGCTTACTAATTCCACCTTCTTCAGTGTCTATAAAAATAACCATAGCTACAAAGGGGAACCATTGCCCACCTCACATGCTAAAATTCCTGTCACCAAAAGCCATCTCTTGCCTATCAATCAATCATCTTTCACTTTTATATGGAATCTGACTTTTTAAAAACAAAATTAGCCAACAGTACTTTTAGCGATGATAAGCATGTTCAAAAACACTACTTAAGGTTCCCTTTGTTTCACCTGCGGGCACCACATCTAGAGTGGGGTGGTTTAAACAGTGAGAAGCGCCTGCTGGGCACAACTAGCCATATGTATCCTCGATAGAAGTTAAAAGAGGGAGGAGCTGATGAGCAACAGGGGAACAAAACTAGAGGAAGAGAATCTAGTTCTTATCTAGTCGTAAAAGGTATTCTCTCCCTGCCTGGTTTTTACCTCCGTATAAAAGCGGTCATTAATCTCCAGCAAGTAGGCCCAACATGCTGAAGACCTGTCAGCGCCATATAAACAGAATAAAGCAAACTGTTAATACTGCTGTCGTGAGGAAACTGGAAACAGACTGATTAATCGTATTGGCGCTCAACCGCCAGGGAGACCACTTCGGTCGTCGCCTTATTAGGGAAGTCCCAGTTGGCTTTTAGGCCAATCATTACGATGACTGTCCAGTTTGTATCCTCACTGTTTTTGTTATTGTTGTTAAATGAACGCCTTGTTCTTGAACCCATACTGCAATTCTTGACTGGCAGGGGTGATTAGTTTAGAAAAAGTCAGTATCTTCCATGAAATCTAAAATGTTTATAGTGCCGACCATTCACCGTTTCTGAGGACTCCCAGATGGCGAGCGACCCTGCTGGATTGATTCAAGGCCTATTTAACTTTTCAAGAGAGAAATTATTTACAGTGTCCACATGTAAAGGTGCATGAAGTACTCTGTGGAAGATCTTTGCACTGTCAGGACACATCCGGAGCAGCTCCCATTAAGGATGTCTTCAGGAGGGACCCTAAGAAAAGCTGGGAACACAGGAATAGTGGGATACATGTGTAAATCATAGTCACAAAAGGGCGCCTCAGGGCCAGATTTGGCCCTCAGACATGTTTTGTTTGGCCTTTCAGGGATGGCCCCCACCAGGTTTTAAAGTTGCAAAATCGTAGCTAACATGTAAATAATTAGGAGTTTTCATGCTCACACAAAATAAAACTCTGGTTTCTCTTAAGAAATCAGAAGCTCTGATTACACAAAAGCTTCCCTCATTCCTGGATGCAGCAATCAGCTTTACGTACTGGACTCTGCACTTTCCCATAGTCTCTACCCCTCCTATCTTCTCCCCAAACCCACTGGCATTGGGTACATAATATGTTGCTGCCCTGCTTGTCTTGTCCTCAGCCCATTTC